GTGAGAGCCTGGTCCGGTGAGAACCCGGCGTGCTCCGTCCCGGCTTTGTAGGGATGCGAGGTCAATGGTCTAACGACTACGGCATGCACGACTATGAGTACGAGTACACCCACCTGCTTACCCCTATACTTTCGAAGGTGGGAGGGTAGGGAATTCTACTGTACAATAGGGCCACATGGCACAGACCTTCTGATATTTTCTGTTCCTTGGAGTTGAAGCCAGCATTTTTATGTATGGTATACGCATAAGGAGTTTTCTTTCTGAATGGTGAGTACTGCAGAGTAACGTGACATTGGGAGGCTCAGGTGTTCGGAGGTAGATACCAGTTAAATGTGTTTTCGTAGCAGAGCCACGTCGGGATACCGCAAGAGCTTGGTGCTCAACGGCATGTGTCGTACAGGAAAAGTCTCCCTCCGCAGGCCACAGTTTCTTTTAATCGAGTCAATTCGGAAGGGAAACAACACTCTAAACAAGTAGTCCACTCCGCTTGTTACAGGAACACTAGGCGGAACGCGCAGGAAGCAAGCCGCACACGGTGATCTTTATTCGCACTACAGCAAGTACACGTACTACATTTGCCGTACACTGATACTTACCTTTGTATCCCGAACTCGTTCCTTCTTGGTTCCACGAGTTTTGTGATATTCTAGGTTCTAGTGTCGACCATGTAAGTGTGACTCAAGCGCGCGGGGGGCGATGTATGGGGACACAGCATCGAACTTGATGAGGGTTTGGGAGGTGCTACAGGACTAGAATAAGGGGTTGCACACCTGGAATACCACCTACACACTCCCGCCGTTCAGTCGTCGTGGTGCCTGCGCCCATCGCGTCTAATAAACACGTGTTGAAATGTACGGACTACTGTATATATGATTTTCGCATTCTACCTCACCTCATTAAACATGGACTGTACACAGCAATGACGTACTCTACAAGAAGTCCGCGCGCCGACTGCATGAAGTCAAACCCTTCCACGCCGGTACCGTAGGCACTGGACGTACCTCCCGAGGTAGAAATTTGAAAAAGAGGCTTGTCACCGCACGTTCTACGGTACTAGTAGTCATCGTTCAACTCCACGAACCGCGACTACTTCGTCGTCACCAAACCAGCTGGCTTGCAATCCCATGACACCGAGGGATGTAACGCAACCCCACATAACCACTGTACAAATATTGCCATTTGAGGACTGTGCGGATCAGAAGGTGTGAAATCTGGGCTTGGTGTTGCCTCGTGGGCCAGCTCACGGATCTCGCCATGAGGAATGCCCTCGCTCACGTCGACAGCGGGCGATCGTTTCCACGATCCTACCTCACAAAGTGCGTTTGGATTTGGTCCTCTGCAGCTCCTCGTGGTCGGACTTTTCGTTAGCTTGCGGTCATCAAAATGGGCACCTCGGTAGATGTGGCCGAGAGGCACGTGCGGAGAAACTCGTCGTAACGTACCCCTTCCTTAGTCGTGTCCCGCGGATCACCGGGGGACGGGGCCTGCGTCCATTTCGGCGGGATGGCATACTTGCTGCCCCCGTTCTTGTGCCTGCCATACAAAGGAGAAAGTTAGAAGGGGGGGGAGAAGAGTGTAGAAAAGAGAGGGAGGGGATCGAACGTTTTTCGTGACTGAGGCAGGGAGTCCCCTTCTTTGCACCATGCCGTGCTTTCGGCGATCTCACTCAACGTCTTTTGACGCAGAAACTCACGATAGCCTAGTCACGCCTAGGCCCAGAACGATTCCATATCCACCGAAAGGTTCCCTCGAGCGTTGCTAGCGTGACGGGTGGCGTAATATTGTGGAGCAACCAACAGACTTGTTGCGATACCCTTTACGCTGTCCACCCTGAAGCGGTGTGTAGTGTGGCAGATGTCAGAATAGTGGCAAAAACGTATTCACACGTCACCGTCCACACGCCATCTCTTATGTACTACACACCATACCGTTCTGTACATTTGGTACATATGTTCTCCGATGTACCGGGGAAACACTTCAAATCAGCGCGGGCAGACCGGAGTAGAATTATATTAATGTATTTTTACCGATGCAAGGAAAGTGAAAACATTGTGTGCTGGTGGACTGCACTGTTCAACGCGAGAGAACCTTCCCATGCATTGTTCACACTCAGCGCTTCGACGTTCCCTACAACAAGCCCGACAGGGAGAGGGGAGATCGTTGTTGACACCACTTGAACTCAACATCGGGAATGTTCCAACTTGCACGAATTTGAAAGGGCAGTGAAAGGGTATGTAGGGGACAGCAGCCGCGAACCTGTACTTCGGTAAGGTAAGACACTCCTTTTGTTGTTGCCAGACAGCGGCAGCCGCACATCGTACCGGTGCAGTCGTAAGAGGAAGTCGATATCCTCCTTGTCCACCGTCACTCCGTTCTTGAGGCACACCGCCTGCAGGAGAGTCAAATGGGAGCACAAAAAAACGGGTTGACAATATTATGTAAATTCTATGCCACATGAACCGCTTGCCACATGATAATACACACGCACAGAAAAAGCGATGTCGCTTCAATCCATGCACTGCAGTAAACTCACACAATAGCTTGCACCTAGAGGCAACGATTTCACGGGAACCAAAGATGGTTTGTCGCTTGATGACGGCCCCTAGAGGCTTGGAGCCGAAAAAATGGGTGGAGCTTGGGTACTCAGGCAAACTTTGGGAGAGAGATTGAGTACTCAGTGACGGCGGGGGCTGTGATCAGATGTTTCAGGTGAAGAACCGTTTTTTGTGTCAGTATGCCTGATTGTGCGAAAATTTTCGTCAGAGCGAGAGGAGGAACACCACCCCTTACATTTTTACGATAGAAGCAATACCAACTTTAGAAAAAAAAGCAACCGCAGCAGAATAGGTGGAAGTAGGTTACCATGTATCATACCTGGAATTGCTCCACGCCAACGACGCCACGGCGGTAAGGGTTTTCGCACTGCTTGAAAGCTTTCCGGAGTTCTGTCGCGCTCTTCGCCACGTCCCTACCGCACAACACAAAAAAATAAAACCGTTTCGAGAGCTAGCTCTAGCCTGATCACGTGTCAACACCAGGTTCGTTCAACATGACACGGATGTTCTCAACGACAAAGATACATCGTCACGACAAACTCGATATTTTTCATCGGCCGCAGCCATGCTGCTGTTGCAGGCACTTTGAACACACACATCACAAACACTGTCTCCTTCGTAGGTCTAAGTCAGGCAAGATTCTCGTAGTATCTGGGTCGCCTAGCATGTGCATTGTGTCAGAGCTGCTGCCGAGCTAGCTAGAGTATGGCCGTGAGGGTTCACCGAGGAATGGTGGCGGGACACCAAGACTTTGATGAAACCCTACCAAAATAAATGCTGCAGAAACTACTGGGGATTGAGCCATTGTTTGGTCTCACAGGACCCTCCGCAGTCCGATCGGACGGCGTGCAGTAGAGTGTGGAATCTTGTCAATTTACCCCACGAAGAAACAGCGCTGAAACCGCGACAGGGTAGCTTAGCGTACGACTCTCACTTCTTCATGAAGCGGTGGATGGGCGTGGTCTTGGGCACCTCAGGCCGTTGTCCCACGAGGTCAGGCAGCGCGGGGGCACTCTTTGACACCTAGCGCAATTGTGTTAGATACAATATGTGCTCTCCTTCAGAGCATGCAACTAGTGTCGACACACCACCACCAAGACCCATGCAACATCTGTCTAACGCATTAGCTCGAGCAGATGATACCACGTCCCGGACCAAGAAAATTGTACGTATCGTGACATGCCCCAAGGTGCGTGTTAGGCGGAGTACAAAATCGATCGTTGTGGCTCTGGATGTTCCGCACCTCTGTATTCTGTTGTGTATCACGATGGATCCGGCCCCCTATCCCTTCAGTGTGGATCCATTGCACCAAGGATGGTTTACCAAACGATACACAACGAGAAACAAAGAAGGACCCCTCTTTCTTGTCTTCTCAGCTGGACAAGATGGACATATCACAAGATCCCGGAAAAACTAACTCCCTCCCTCAAGACAACAAATAGTTTCCTTCGTGGGACGTCTTTGGCGTAGCCTACTCCCCGACCTTCATTGGGGAGGTGCTGTCGATGTTCCCACCGCTCGCCGTGAACCGCTTGAAGTAGCCCTGCCGGGATGGCTCTTTGACCTGTGGAGGTATATCAAAGGGGACACTGCTAAACAACGTTGCGATCAAGCACTGCCGCATGGGCAAGCTGAATAACACAGGCTTCAGAGTATCCTCACGCGAAGCGGGCAACAAAGTGAGACCAGCGCTCTGCGATGATTCCGCGCGCACACATCGGTCAATTTTATTCCCAAGGGCTACAATACAGCATGAACGGAGGTGACCCGAACTGCAGGATGTAGCCCCCCCCGCCCTCTCGACCTGGGAGCGATCAGCTCTACCACGAGAAAACAGGCGAGCAATGGAAACGTACCAGATTGGAATAACTGAGTTGTTGGGACGAAGCGCAACATGGCAGTCCACCTAGTCCCCTCACCTACCTTTGTGTCCGAACTGTTCGTTTCCACCCTCCTGCGCCGTGGGCCGTCCGCAGTCTGCGCCCTGCCGACTACGGCGTTGGCGATACCGTCCCTGCTGGAAGAGGATGGAACTGCCTTGGCATTTTGGGGTTCGCAGCCATGGTCCGCTAGCGGAGCAGATTCACTGGAGAGTAAGATAGGGACACAGTGCAACGGGAGATATTCTCAATAACATGTTATCATGTTCGACCCAACACACGAAGGTGAGGGACCTACCGTATCTGCTTGGTTGTTGATACCTCCGTCTCAAGCAAACACTCAGTGGAACAACAGACGGGACGCTGGGACGGGTCGTGCTTGTTTGAGAATGTTGACGCGCTGGCCAGGTAGACCGATATCAAATTAGAGTGCGGGCGCGTAGGCTGATCTGATATGCCTCCAGCGCAGAAACGTATGCGGGCGACCGCGGTATTGCTTGACTCCACGGCGAAATCCAAGAGATCCTCGTAACGTTGGTCGACCATGTGAAGCGATGTTCCCTATGTTGTCAATGCCTACCGCCCAGGACCCACACCTCCGACGCCAACAAGCGATCGGCCCCCTGAAAAATCTTTGGCAGTGCGAACACCTAAAACAACAGGAGGTGCGAACACCTAAAGCAACAGGAGAACCTCACCGCTTCTTGCCAGGGCTCGTGTTCACCTCGGATTTACGTTCGCTGGTGCCCCCAGCAGCCCCAGCAGCCCCAGCGGCAGCGGTGCGGGGCCGCGGGGGCAGCAGCGCCAGTTGAGGATTAGATCTTGACCTGAGGAACATGCGCTCGATGTCAGGGCTTGGAAGCAAAGGCCACAACTGAAGAACGTCGGGGGCACGATGGAGGAACACCGGGTCTGGGAAGTCCACGCAAATTCAACTGCCGTTGCACGGCCATCATTGCTCCGAGAGGAGAAGTTGCCCCAGCCCCTGTCCGAGGGGGTTGTTCTTAAACCGGTCGTGCGACACGCTGTCGGCGTGTTACGAGGCCTACCCCTGTTAACGAGGAGACAGGTCTGACCCAATAACGAGCAACGAACGCGCTGTCTCGGTGATAAGTTCGCCTGTTGTACTCACCAAACTTTCCAGAGCACACATCCCTAAGGAAGACCGCACGCCCTCTGCAGAGAACCTAACGAACTGTCTGCACGACTTATGAGATTGCGATCTATTTTGACCGCGGGTTGTGTGCATGAAATCGGTTCGGCGCATGCCAACTCTATTCCGCCGAACTTGTGTTGCTCCGCGTTGCACTTGAAACGAAGATTCACCTGATACGTTCCTGGTTCTCTTTTTTGTGTTTGGTGGGCGTCGCTCCGGCAAACATTCCGGAGAACGTTTCAGAGCTCTCCTTTGCCACGGATGCAGCGGCGGCGGCGGCAGCAGCCGCATTGGCGGCGGCTACCGCCGCTACAGCGGATGAAGGGTCCGCACCCATTACGGCAGCGGTGAAACTGGCCACGAAGACCGGGTAGTTTACGTATGTACCACCTTGCTCAGAGCAACCGTGCCGGACCAGAAGCCTTACAATGAACCGAAAATATGAGCAAGATGGAGTTGGGGAAGAAAAATAGACTTTAGTTCTTGTTCCGGTTATGCTGAAGAGAGTATCGCGAGGGCATACTTTAGTGCAAGCCGGCGCCTCTTGAGATCAGGTCCGACGTGAAACGTTTACGGGCACGGTGAGGTTTATCGGGGAAGCACAGAACGGCTTGTTTCTTCGAACTACTCTTTCGGGTGGTGCGGTCCGCTCCAGTCTCCGTACCGCACCCAGATTCTTCGTATTGCACAATCCTCGATAGTTGCAAGCGCCCCGAGAACATTGTTGCGTCTACACGCGCCCTGCGTTCTGTGACCGCATTGCTCTAACCAGGGGATGATTGTTGTGTTGCCTGAGAGCCTTCCCTTGCCCACCGGACTACAGTACATCATGCGTATATCATGCGGAAGATACGAAAATTGATCAACAGAAACAAGAACGTAAAAAAACGTTTCCCCGCCGTATGCTGGAGCAGGTAAGAGTTCTTTGGCTCCCGACGCAAGCCATGTAGCGGCTACAGAATAGGATGTCACCGTTCGGTGCTGTGTACATGTATTTCTCGTACCCGTTCCTTCGCCGTACCAAAGGTTTTGAATTCAAAAACACACACTCAGTACACCTTACCTGGTGAGCTCTGCCTCTCCCACCCTGCCAAGTCCACCCTCTTTCGCGAGAGCCTTTGCGAACGTTTTACGGGACACTCTACCGCTTCTGACTGGCGTCCCCTTGTCCGCAGCTTTCAGGGCCTGGGATAAGCGGCGGGCCTGCTGGACCAGCTTGGCTCGGGCCTGAACACCCACCAGACGTACCGAACGACACGTGGGGTGTTTTCCCAGTTGCATGGGACACGAACACGGTCAGCAGAGGATGGGATACGTGACCCTGTGACTCCACCCCTTCAAAAGCCATCGAAGCAGCCTGGATAACGCTTCGGCCAGGCGTGGAGGTTTCGTTCTGAACGCAAAGAAGACCAGTCAGCTCCATCAGCCTTTCTTCTCGAATCGAGGAACGAAACCAGCCGAATTCCGATGTGCATCCAGCAGCCTCGTGATTACAAACTCTCTCCTTCAAAACGGCGCAATAATCGTGACTCAAATACCCCGTCAGTGTCCCACCATTCTTGAAACCATCATCCAGAACGAAAGAGAGCGAAGAGCAGGACAGTGCGGAAACCCGAGAACTACGTAGCTTCCATCGCCCGGACGTGGAAGCTCAGTCCGACTCATAAACGCTCCAATTACGAAAGCCACAAACATCGACGAACAGGAGCGATCCACGCGCCCCAACGACGCTGGGGGAACTTCATATAATACGTTGAACAACCACAAAAAAACTACATGTGTTTGACGAGGCTCACCCTGTTCCCCTCGGCAATCAAAGCAGCACGCTTGAGGTCTTCCTCGGTCTGCCCCCCTCCATCGCGCACTCGAGCGAGTGCCATGGCAGCCCGGCAGTCGGCGGGCCGGTAGAACTGTGTGAAATCTTGAAGGCTCCACCCAAGAACCTGATAATATAGTTTCAATCACGGTATCTACACTCATTTGTCTGAACAGCCAGAAAAAAGGCTAGGCAGAATCGAAACTAGACAGTCCTGGCAGGACTTTCGACTGGTTGGAGCATTTCTATCGGCAGGACTTGGGTATGTGCAGCAAGTTCTGCACAAAGAACGGATGGATACATAGGAGTCCATGCTTGGCCTCAAGCAACTTCAAGCTACCAGCACTCCATTGTTTCCATATCACTCAGAATCGAGGGCAAAACTACATGGGTTGGGAAGCGGTACGAAGTACCCCAGGCAAAACGTCGAGCCAGAACGATGCAACTCACGTCGCGTTGTGCATCTTGAAACTAGACCTCATTGGAGACTGGGAACAGGATTTATGCCACCTCATGATTAGCGAGTCATTCAAAGCACGGGGTACACCCAGCTAAGCTTGGCTATTTAGCGACAAAAAATATAATACATCATCGCTTGCCTCTCTCCCTGAGCTGGAGGTGGAGCTTTCCGACCCGTGCCTTTGCAGCACTTGCTTGAGAACCTGGCTAGACGCCGCTTCTCCCCGAACGCGGGCAATGCGGACCGCTACCCTTAGGCCTTCGAGCCCCATCGTTCCTCCTTGTCCGCCGGTAAGCGCGCGAAAGCACGCCTCCGCCTGTACGCAGTGTCGTTGAACGGGAAACACGAAGAACAAGGGTTTATATCCGATCCTCCCAAGGGTTTCATAAACGCCAACAGGCACTCATATATTGTCGAACGGTCAACGCGGTGCCTTCTCACGTTGTCGAGGTGTTTATCCCAGAGTCCCTTCCTGATGGTGTTCTCGACTTTCTTGATGGCTCCTTCAGGGAGCCTCCGCTCGTCCTCCAGCCGGCGGATGCGCTGTGACGTGGTGAGACGACGGGGAGGGGAGTCACTGCCCGTGATGATCTCCATCAGTTCCTGGACGCCGAGAGAGAAAAGGCGCACATCAAAGGGGATATGGCCCATCAGTTACATTGACAAAGATACCGCCAAGATTGAAGCAGCGGTTGACCGACAGCTTTATTTCACCTGCGAACACGAGACCCACTGCTGCTGGACGTCGATCATTATCTCCATCACCTCTTCTCTCCAAACAGTAGCATCAGGATATGGGTCTAAGCACGACCGTCTCCCAGCTATACGTACGGATCCAACATTCTCGGATTGGAGCGTGCTCGCGAAAGCAGTAGCATTCGCGGTACATGGTCGATGATGCACATTCCTTGAGCCTGTCGTTCGACGTGGTTGCGAACAGCTCTTTGTCCGGCCCAGTTGCTACCGTTCTTGCGGTTTTCATCTCGTGAATGATTGAACATCACACCGGTATTAATTCCCGCGACAATCTGGAACACATCTCTCACTGAAGGAATAGTCCCATCGATGAGACCCCGGTTGGGAGTTTCGAGAGTGCACCACGTGGTGTACCGTGCACCGACCTGGTGTCCTCCGAGTGTGTGCGATGAGAATATCGTGATCTGAAGCGGGTCATGTGCCACGAAAAGCTCACACCCTGGAACCGTGAGGTGTTTCTAGACGAGCGAACACTGAACCACGATACAACTGCAGTGTTTCAACATCGTCTCCGTCGCCTGGGTGACTCAGGTGGTGTCAACCAAAACCTTCTGACGGTCCCGTGTCCTGATTGCAGGTGTGTTTCTTTTTGTAATTCGTAAAGCTCTCTCTAATAAACCACGCCCTTTTTGAGCTCACTTTGAGGGAAAAGTATCAAACCATTTCCGCTGTAGGGATGAAGAGTTGAACCACGCTGGGAATATTCCGCGTCTCCCTGGATCGAAGTTCTTACGTTGAGAGAGGCTGAGCAATGCCGTAAAGACAACTCGCTGGCGACTGCAGTGTGCACAACAGGAAATGCAGAATCTGGACGACACAGCACCAGAGCACCAATTTCGAGACAGCAAGGAGCACCTGAAAGCTAACGCTGCCGTTGTTGCGCCAATCGTACAGCTTGAAAAGCCGGTCTATGCCTGGCTTGTCGTCAGACAGGCCAAACGATGACAGTGCCTCTCGGAAGTCGGCTGCAGTGATGGTCGAACCTTTTTTCCTGGCATTCAACGCCGATGAGGTGATACGAGAAGGGAGGATATGCTCGCTGTAGACCGTGGCAACTTGTCTTGAAAACACGCGAGAAACAGAAAATGTCACCGTGCTGCCAGACTAGGCTCGTGTTCCACCAATCACGGGTTGCCGTACGGTGGTTGGTGAATAGAACATTGGGCCAGTTGCACCAGAGCTGGCTGTAGGATAGACGATGTGTAGGCGAGGTGTCTTCGTTTGGGTCAGACAAAGAGGAACGATTATCAGAGCAAGTCCGAAGGACGTGGTGTGCGGCATGAAAGCAAATAATCGCCAGAACTCGGCGTCGATGATGTGGCAGCCGTGCGCCCAGGGCGTGCCGAGTTTCATCTAAGAAATATTCAATCCTTCCAAACCACGTCTACCAACCCCGGTCAACAACGCATTGGCAAGTCTTCGAGCAAAATATCATTGTCCAGTCTACGGATACGAAGTGCGGACAGCAGTACCTGGTGACATTCCTGAAGGCGCGTAGGAGGTGGCGGCGGTCCGATTCGAACGAGTTGACAACCGTAGCCCTCAGCTGATATCGAGGCAAACAGCGCAAGCGCAGATACCACAAGTTAGACAAGGAAGACGAAAACGGCGCCGACTTGGTGACAAGCCTACACACGCGTACAAGAATATTCCATCCACGGAGATGAAACATCACACTAGGCAGTTGACTGCTCCTTGCTTGGCAGGGATCACGAACGGGTTTAGGATCTAGCCATCCAACACCGCAACAAATCCGGGTGATCTCTTTGTTCACTTAGGCAACACCATGCATTATCCGCAGGTGCGTACCGCTTTGTGCATGCTTAGCAGGCTGGACTGTTCCGCTGCTTGTTCTTCCGACAGCGCGGCATCTCCCACCGTGGCGTTGTTCATCTGGGAATTCGGGAAAATCAAACATGCAAAACCTGTTTCTCGTAGAGAATCGAAAGGCATATATGTATGGGTGGCATGTACGTCACTTGTGGAATTGGCATGCATGAGACACGGAAACGGTAACACATTACTGTGAAACAGAAAAAGAAACCCACCCACCGTAGGGAACCGTCGGCAGTAGGTTGAACGTGTCATGGGCCAAACGTAAGGGAACAACGTCTATCTGGAAGTGCAGGAATCGTTCACCTAGGCCTACTGTTCGGACGGACGGGCTTCTTCCACAGAAACGCAACGGGCGTCGCGCGAGAAAGAACGATCGTCCTCGACAGACGTAGGGGAGACGTGATGCTTATACCAGAATACCTCCACGCCACCATTCACTGCTGTGCAACAGTCATTTTCGCATCTTCTAGGTATGGCTCGCACATGTATCCAGAACCCGACCGACTGGCGTCGAAGGAACACACTTGTTCATGATCTCGGGAACATGTTCAAATTGTTTCGCTTTGTCCGCAACATCAACAATTGTTTCCCAAGGTTCAGAAATCTGTTTGTGCTGTCCCCAGCCACATCTCGGTCGGTGGGGACATTCACAGCCCGGTACTCTGCAACCAGAAGAAGATATGTACAGTAGTTCTTCGCGTCAAAGCCAACGTAGAAAAATGAAATTGTACTCGAGAGACGTCGGGGAGACCAGTTCCTCTCCAAATATGGTCTCTACTCGTGTTCCAAGCAGCAAAATGGACTGATCTGCGGATGCACCCCGCGTGATTGATCTACGTGTACCTCGCCAACGTCGAGGCCGGTGGAGGTATGGCTCTCGAGAAGCCACTCGCGAAAGGCTTGCGCGCTCATGTTGCCCGTCGGAACGCCGTTTTTCTCATCTATGAGTAGCAACAAACATGGGCGGTGGACACGAAGGTTCGAAGGTGTAGACGATGCGAACGTTCTGCACACTGGTGGCCCACAGCTAAAGCGGAACGTTGCGGGCTTGAATCATGACGGCACGTTCGCTGAATATTATTAAAGTGCACCCGCGGGTGTGCGCTCATTTCAACAATCGAGAAACTCCCGGCAGCGCCATGGTCCACGAGCAAAGTGGAGCTCCGTTCAGTCGGATTTGTGATATTCCTGTCCAAATGAGTCCATGCCGTGGCGGGAGTTGAGTTGGACACAACAGCTGCTGCTTGCCGCATGGAGGTACGCAAGCCAGTCTACCACGAGCAATCAGCAACACCCTTAAACGTTTGTATGCGTACAAGGTACACATGGGTGCGCTGTCGGTGTTTCGAACTGTCCCGTAAAAGACGTTCTACAAGGGAGGCACCTCCGGCAGGTTGGCGAAGGCTTGTTGAAAAGCTCAGTCGGAAAGACAGAACGGCAACACGCAAAGACCGCCAGTGTACGTTCTTGCTTGTTTTATGTTCACGGTGCACGACGATGACAGCTCATGCCACGGAGAGTTGACGACGTACGGAGTAGGGTTTGCGGTAGGATCTACCCCAACCCTTACGGCATTCATGGGCTATCGCGTGCGTAAGCCTGGCCAGAGAACTCGCTCGAGCAACTTGTACACATCATATGTCCTACAACACGTCTGCAGAGTATGGAAAATGGCGGGATATGTCCAACACACCCACCACTCGGGCCCGCTAAGCGAAACTCGTTGAAGATCTGCTTGGTCTCTGGCTCGGACAGGTTGAAACCGGACTTGTTTATTGCGTTGGAAAAGGCGGGGTAGTCCATCTCCGAGCTCGACTTCCCTCCGTCGGTTCCGAAACCCCTGAGGCGTACATGACATAGTCATTTTGCATTAGATCACGTCTTTGAGGGGTTCAAGGTTGACATGAGCTTTCAGCGAAACGTTCGCGTAGAGGGCATAAAAACAAATGCCCCGGCGACTCGCAAGCACGGGGTTTGCTCGTCCTGCCTCCAGACACGTGACCGCGTCGCAGGCTCGCCACTACCGGCGTCGCAGCTCCCTTGCAAATATTTTGGCAATAATGTCCCGGATTATGCGGAACAGCGTCGCGTCGACGTTCGGGAGGGTTTTCCGGTCAATCACCTAACGGACCACCCCTGACCCTCTCCTAACACACACGCGGTGACCTCTACGGCAGACCGCCCCTTCGTCTCGCAGGAGCAGCTGCAGGGTCCACTCTTCGTGTTGCTTCTTGCTGCTGCTGCTGAAGTAGTACTCCAATACGTCGTCACCGCCGTGCTTATTCAATCCCCCGATGAAACTTCCCCGCAACTTCTTGCCTACCTTGCCACCGTACGATTCAATCCCGCGCCACAAACCCCAGATTTCCTTCGTGTAATCTTGAGTTATTACATGATATTTTGAGTCGTGGACCCCCACGACTTCATCACGCCACCCGGGCTTACCCCACGCCAAATCTTGCCCGGGTTCCTCATACATACACCACTCACAGACGTAAACCTAGGCAGGCTGTCACACTTCATTTCGCTACACCCTCAGGCTGTAAAAATTGGCACCTGGCTAGCGGTAAACTGACGATCTAGTCCAAGACCGCGGCGGCTTTACGGATATGACGACCGGCCCGAGCCGGTGGCCTCAGCTATTGCAATACTTGCGTGTGATGTACGAACGGAAACAGACTAGGCAGCAAAACACAGGGTTGAAACACCAGGGGGGCATCTAGGATGTTCTGGTGAGCCGTCTTCTTCAATGTTCCTGCTGGTGGTGGATGCTATGGTGGGGGCGTCTTCACTTGAGACGACGCTCGGTAATTTCCCACCTTCTTGATACTCCGTACCTCGTAGGCAAGAGACCTACCATTGAGCTACAAGATCGGTGTCACAGTATGTTTGACCCCACACCAAGGTTTGGGCAAGGAAGGCCGACGCAGAGCATCCCCCACATCATATTTGGACAAGAAAAGCCGACACAGAGCATCCCACACCAAGACCCGACATTTCGGGACTACGAATCGGTGAAGAACAACGGCACTGCAAAGCGAAACAAATGAGCGCAGACTAGTGCAAACAGCGGACAAACCTGGCGAACAAAGCAGTAGCAGGGTATCGATGGGGTCCCCTGGGTCACAACAAGGGGCCTCATGAACCCAGCCTGTGTCAGAACCAAGCGATAGGCCGCACGTTACAGCTTGTTCCCTGGAGGGCATCGTCCAAAGATCCTCGTTCGTCCTAGACCTCTCACTCTGTACCCGTGAGACTTGCACCCCCATTACTTCCATCCACAAGACTTTCCTACCGATCTCAACTACAATAGTGTATCACTTGGTTCCAAGGTTCTGGCGTGGAAGACTTGAGGTGATCGAACGTGCTTTCGTAGTACCGAAGAGTAAAGAGAAGACACCCCCGGCTAGCCGGGACCAAAATGAACGACAATAGGTTCATTCCAGGAACGAGGATACCATACCAACGGCACGAAACGTACCTCAGGGCCCGTAGCACTTCGGTCTGGCCTCCTGTGATGCGTAGGAATACCTTCGCCTTAAGTAGCTGGTCCGACCTCGCACCCCCAGCCTGAAATGTAGTACGTAACACCGTTAGTCCACATGGAGAACCGCGCCCAACTAATGAGCAGAAAGAATAGGAGTGAAGCGCCCAGCATGTTGCTAAGACGAAACCCCTACTGGAACCATACTCGTCGCGTGGACGAGGACGCTGTAGTCTGTTTTCCCTCTCGTTTTCAAAGTTTTTGCTCCCTCTCTCCGATGCCCGACTATCCTACGGTCGTCTACCTCTACCAAGCTGCAGAGCTCCGACCTGGGGGTACCAAGAAAAAATCCTCGCGGAGCTTGCCGAAGGTTTATCTCGCGAGAACGGTTCGCCCACCCTTCCCTCACCGCCAAAGCGCACGAACAAAACAAACGTCAAAAAGTTACGAATTCTAATAATGACTCATAGAACCACCGATCCGAGCTACACGGTTGTCGAGGGTTACCACATGGACCACGCGCGATGCAGGCCACGTGAAATGCTAAGCCCTAGCGTTTCTCCTCTCCCTCTTTCAAAAAGCACAGGGCGGAGATATGAGACGTTCCTGATTCCGTTCAAAAGGTGTCATGACGCCCATCCATACACATCAGCTATATTAGAGAGGGCTGTATGTTGGATGAGACAAGGAAGTACTGACCAAAATACGTCTGTTGAGATACTGCAATCTCTCATTCACGGAAAAATAGAGCAAGGGTTCATCCCCTAAGATACGCAAGGGGAGGGGGGTGGAGGTTGATGACAGTCATATCAATATACGTCAACAATATTTGATATCGACGAGACGTCCACTCACCAGGGAGGGGTTCAAGGCGGTAGCTTTTTCGAGCGCGGCCACTCTGCTCCTAGCTGCAACAGTCTTTTCCTCGTGGCGATTCACGCCCATCTGGTATCGATATCGTTGCCATAGACATTAAGTGCATTTCATGTTTCGGGTATAGGTATATGGTTATGCGAATGAAATGCCCACATTCAACCGTGTGTTTGGGCAACCATACTTGATTACATACACACAACAACCAACAACATGCTACAATACATCATCCTCAAGTTCCGCACGAAAACATCCGCACATTACAGCTGCATCATGCTGCCGAAAGACAACTTAGCATCTGTTCCCTTGCCACGGCAACACTGGGATTGTTATCGCAATCCTCTTGATGACGGTAGCAGTGGAATCGCGATGGCAACAACGCGAGAACGGCATTTTCTATCGTAACTAATATTTCTATGGTGCGAAGAAACAAATCCATGTGGTTTCCAGTCCGTGATCAAAATACCACCAACACCTACCTCGAGACCGGTTTTCTGGATGCCGCCTCGCAGGAAGCGGCGGAATTCCGAGAAGTCGATCTCGCCTGACCCGTCCACATCAAAATATCCAAAGAGAGTTTTGATGTCCTCCTCACCCAGCCCGAGACCCTACCGGTACATTATCAATCGTATTCGTGATTGTGCATGTTAAACAGGGTTGGCTTCATTTTACGAAGTCACAAGCCGTCTTTGGGGAAAGGCCGTATACACGAAGGCTAACACGCGCCAACAGACCATTTACGATCTCTATACCTTTTGCTTGATGCTTTCGCGGAATTCCGTGTAATCCATAAAGAGCCGCCTACCAGCGGCGGCGGGACGGAAATGCCGAAAAGCTCGTAACATCTCCAGCGAGCCACCTTTCACCTGAATGTTATCGTCGCCATCAACGCCGCACAAATGACAGGGTGAACAAAAACCCATGACCTATTGCTGTGTCTCCTCCCTCCCTGAATTCCCACCCCCCACAAGAATCACTTGTACCAGAGAAAAAGAGTTGCATCCAACAGTCCAAAGCAGAAACTTTTACATCACACAAATTTCCATCGACTTCCACCATGCGACACTATTGATTCCATGGTAGAGAACTCATCCAACATATAAACAAGGACATTGCAAGCTGCGACTGAGGAAGAATGCATATGATCGTGTACAGAGAAGCCTTGGGCCAATAATTCGATTGAAGCCCGTCCCGCCCGGGGATGCACCTGTGAGAGGATTTTGTCCCGAAGAACTTGAGCTAGCTCATCCCTCGAGTCCGCAACCTTGGCGTTTTCAGCATGACCACCGGTCGTCAGCCCTTTGGCGTCTTTTGCGGCGCGCTTTTTCTGCATTCGAAAGATAAGTGAGCCAATACGGAAAAATTCCAACCTCATATGAACGAAAAGCACATCTCGATTATCAATGGTAAAAGCAAGCAGAGGCCTCAATTTTTAACCCCGGAAACAGGGCGGGACACGCCAGAGCTTATACCGGGAGCGTGCGACCGACACGTGCTAATGGGCCATCGACTCTCCAAGACTGTGCCTCAACCCGCGGGGATCGGTCGCGCTGTTCGATTTGCCAGCGTTGTGAACGGCGTCAAATAAGGCGGGTGGTTGAAACACCTCGAAGCCTCTACACTCGCGTGGTTTCTTGGACAATAGCGCTCTACCTGCTACGCTTTTCGCCCCGCTGTTCGTGGCAGCACTAACCTGGGCGATTTCTCTGGAGAGCTTCGCGTGGTAGGTGGATCCGTCGTAGTCGTCGGGCACTAGGAGGTTGAACGCTTTGCTTCTGGCAAGCTTTATCTGCTCCAAGTGGTCCTCCTGTGTGGTGAAATTATTTCACGGAAAACTTTTTCGAGTCGCTTCGTGATCATCGATTTCGTAACATTCCGAGGCCTTCCGCCTTGTGTGGTGGTCTGCTGAACGTTCATCACTATTGTCAATCCTGCTTGCGAGACAGTAGCTTGGAACTTCCCAGAGGGCCTCCCACTACAGGAGGTGGGCGGAAGGAGAGCACTAACCTCAGTCCGGTACACTTGCAATAGGGAGACGAAGAAATGGTGTTGTAGCGTGCATTTGGGGGACTTGGTGAGAAATGCAAGGCGCAGCGTCACGCAGCCTTGCAGAAGCGAATCAACATCACACGATGCCTCTCGGCATGTTGATCCTGCTCTCGGCGTGTTGGTCCTGTGGACAGAGGAGGCACTTGGTTGAAACATCCTGCTGTCTCGGACCGTCTAGAAAAATTGACTGCCAGAGGAAGCAACCGATCAATAAAAGGAAATCGTGGACACGGTACTACTGCTTAAGCTACCTCTTGTAGGGCGAAAAAGTCTGTGTTACCCCTCCCCTCCTGCATGCGCTCCTCCCACATCAAGAAGTCAGTCAGGTCCACTACCCCGTCTCCGTTATGGTCCATACGGGAGAAGGCATCTCTGATCTCGGACTCCTCGTGGAGGTGCGGGAGCATGCCGGTCACCTTTGGCGGGTGTTGAATGCGAAAACGTGTTGGTAGAAGTTCGTGCGTGCGTAGGGGCTCTATCCCTGCGTACTTGATTGTCTCTTGTCAGGGTATGAGCATCTCCTCTATCTGGATCTGGTGGTCTTACAGATGTGCAAGGAAGTAACACGTCGTTGGGAACAGAAAGCATGTTCCACACACTAAGGATTACAGAAGCAAGGGAGTGCCCTACCACCGACTATATACCATGTTCCTCAGAAAATGGTGTGACATTTTTTCACAGCAGGCTAAATTCTACCCCGCGTATGGTGTGTACGGGTTGAACGTTGCAAATCTGGGGTGAGGGCACCCGCAGGCAACACTCAACTGTTCATGTATATGGCAAGATCCCTCAACATGTTGAGCTTGACTGAACGGTCATACTCAGTACCATTTCGTTCAAAACTTCCCACCTCCTTTTTGAACGCGGGCCACGCCATACTGTCGTTACCCCTGCAAGCGTCAACAGACCACCAACCACCCCCGAAGAGGTACCCAGCACAGGGCCAGCATTGGGAGGAACAGTGAAGGAAAGATTGAGGCGCGGGAGTGCGACCACGGTCGTGGATGCGATAGGCAGTAGGCGGACAAGAACGAGCGATGGCAGCGATTACTGCCAATCCTCTTGCGAAGGGGACATGGGTTTGCTAGGTTGCTCCGTAGTATCGAGCGCAAAGAAAACCTACTGGCTGAAACGATTTCCATTCGAGCTGCGTCGTTCAGGGCGTATCATACAGGTCCCTACTGGCTGTAGAGTTTCTCTTTCGGACCGAAATGGTTAGTTTCAAGACCTGCCATGCGAAGTCCACGATAGGTGGGTCCACAACAAGGGTAGAGTAAACGATGCTTGCAGTGAGCAGGCACGTTCGAACGGCTAACGTCTTAGATTCGAAGATTCACGCAACAGGTTGTTCACTACCTTGCAAAAGCCTTGAATTGCTCAAGCGCAGAGAAAGAGCCCGGTGAAGACGCGTTCAGCTGTTCGTTCAAGCGATAGGCCAACAGCGCCACGACGACATGATCATGACGTTGTGGGAAAGGAAAGGGGGGGGGGGTTAAACAACAAAAACAGGTATCGACCTCCGGCATGATTCTGTGTGATCAGGAGAACGCCGAACGCGACAGGGGCACAATCACTGACCATGAAGGGGTTCGCGAAGTTGCACTTCAGTCAAAGGATATCCGAAAGGTGATGCCGAAATAGGGTCTCCACTACGGCGCGTCAGTGGGGGTTAGAAGAAAAGCCATACAGGGCAAGAAGAAAAAAATATGTACAACAGCTTGGGTAGGACGGATTCGTGGGCAGGGTCTGCTCTACAGTTGTTGTTGTTGTTGTTTGTCTTCACATTAAACCGTATGTCAGTTGCTAAATGCCAAAATCTAGCAAAAGACTCTCAGCCCGTGGTCACGAAAGTGCTAGAGCCATCTGAGGATCTAAAGAACACGCACACATCTGACGAGAAAAAGGTATGCAAGAGCCCGAAGAGGTACACCTAAAAATCCCTGCAGCACCGTATGCGTGCCCAAAAACTGAACTGCACGTCCGTCCCACCGTTCGACTACAG